TTGTTGATAAGATTTCCTTTTCCATTGCGTTGGTAACAAGACATTTCAAAACAGGACAATACACGCTACAGTACAAGGGTCCAGTAATAGTGAGAGAGTGAGTTTAGTTTTACGCCGCTTTTAGCAATATTCCAGCAACATCACGGCGGGGGACACCAGAAATGGGCTTCACACATTGTACCCATGTTGGCGATCGAACCCGGGTCTTCGGCGTGACGAGCGAACGCCTTAACCACTAGGCTACCTCGCCGCCCCAGTCCTGTTACAACTGTCCCAAGAGGATCAGTTATTGTAGAGATGCATGTCTGAAAGTATTATTCACTGGTATCACACATTAGGAATTCGAACTTAAGAAAATTGAGGACAACTTCAGAATTCATCTGATTGAATCAAGAGGTTATGGTCATAAACAATTTACCAAAATGAAATTTTGAAGTCCTACAGTTTCTCACGAACGTTGTGTAATATTCACGGTGCTTTTTATCCATAAACTACAAGGGCACATATCTTTCAGTGAGATACTGATAGAATCCACATGTTAACATTTTGAAGGGATCCGTGTCATCAAGTTGAATACGCATGTTATAGACATGTGCAAACATGTCTGTACTTTCTGTCATAATATTTCTGTTGGGTCTTGTCATCTTATTCTGTGCCATTACTGTCGCGCTGTGTTTTTGTCGTAAATACGTATTACATATTGTCTGAGGAATAGCTGAATGTATTATTTAAAAAAAAAATTAAAACACAACAAAACCCCGCATCCCTGAAAGCTAAGTATATCAATACAGAAGCGTCAGTCCTTCATAAAGACATACAACAAAAGAACGCCATCTATGCTCATGGTGAACTGAGGAATGATGCCCCAGGGAATTGGTTGAAGACCGACTTTGTCAGCCAACATGGTATTAAGTGCCCACGAGATATGTACGTATTCATTATAAAAAGAATGTTTAGCTATATTTATACTCCTGCATAAAGGACTGAGCATCACACTATTGAAACTCAGCAGTCAGCAGGACATGAAGGTATTGTAGAAGTTTGTTCTTCCATAAAGGATTGAACATTACCAGAGAACTATATCCGTAGGTCGAAAGATTATCAATAACGAACCATGTGTGTTCTATTGGAATATAAGGTTTTCATTTACTTGAATGTCCTACAAACAGTCTAGTGAATATGAATCCCTATATTCGTACAATGTACTCCATATGACTGAAGTGTATGTCCAACAATCTGACTATCGTAGGAGATTGATCGCCTTCTTCGACTGGTCAAAGCTTTCATGGACATCCTCACCCGTATCCATGCAACATTCTTCGACCCGTCCGGATGTACAAGTATTAAAAGTACCATATGATAAGATTGAATACGACATATCTATGTCAATATCTCTGAAAAACATACACCCATATTGGACTGAGACCCGTTTAGAGGGTGGGGTGAGGGGGGGGGAATTATTTTTGACAATATTTACTAATGCTAAAACCGTTATACTAACTGCGTCCATCCCGCCTGGAATAGTAACACTACACTGTGCCTTTCTGAATATGATACCAACCAAACAGGGATAAGTAATACATTATATATAACGTAAAGTGAAATCAGGAAATATCCAGTTTTGTGTTGGATGCATTTTACTCGCATCAACATTTGCCCATGACTCCTAAAGTTGAAGAAATGTCTGCTCAAATCCGGGAAATAACTTCTCGAGATTCCTCGGTGGCCGCTGCCACGTGTCTTATATGACGAAACACGGACATATCATACAGATATCACCGTACAACAGACATTGTTCTATGGTTCATATGCACAGGGTTTTCTATTAGAGTGATTGCAAGCCACGCAATCTCAACCATTATGAAAGATTACAGTAATAATTGTTATTTACTGCATCAAAGGCCAGGGCGCACTTCATTTTCAAAAGGACAAGATGTACATATGTCGACTGAATGTCGGTAAAAGAAATTGTTGCCATATTTCATTTACACGTTCAGAGGACCAAACAGACCTCGTTTTAAAATGTTCCCCCTCTTTCTTACGAAGTCAAGTAAATTGACTGTTAGTGGAATCCCTCGATTAAACAAATGTGTGTGTCCACTGTCACTTAAATATTAATTTGTAACAGAAAGAAACCAAACCGATCCATTTTCAAGACAAGAAGAGCCACTTTGCATGTTTTTGGCCATTGTATTTCTCGAAACAAACATCATAGTGGATACGTATTCAGACAATTTAACTTTATATTGCGGTTGAACAATGAAGGAAAGTGACTTTGAAGCCTTCGGGATAGACAGCATTGATTTATATGTGAACAAAGCAGACTGTACCTGACTGGCACTGAAGGATGACATGTTCCAACGCAACCTGAGACGATGTTGCAGGTCGTTGTAGTGAAAGATGTGGGTGCACAGCAGGGTGAACAGCTTCAGCTTGACTTATGTAATCTGTTTAGAAATGCCTTGGTGGCAAATGCCATCTTGTTACCCTTGTTACATGGCGAAATGCCACAAAGTTAAAATGTTAAAGGATAGACTGTTTATTCCAGGAAGTAAGGTCCTCTTGAAGAGTTGTTCTCTTTCGTGTTTCCTCGTTCAACATGTGCCCCAATCGATCTATGAGTTACTGTTACCTTCAAATATTCTGATGTCAAGATGTCTACCGGACTGTTTCATTCTGAGGTGTATTTTCAATGGCATTTTCTCCTGCAGTATATTATGGCGCGACTTATGACACGACTCCTGTGTCAGCTGCCAGCCTAACAGTTCCCATGAAAGTTTCTCATAATCTTCAGGGGTGTTGGGGGTAGCCGTGTGGTTAAAGCGTTGTCTTGTCACGCCGAAGACCCGGGTTCGATTCCCCACATGGGTACAATGTGTGAAGCCCATTTCTGGTGTTCCCTGTCGTGATATTGCTGGAATATTGCTAAAAGCAACGTAAAACTAAACTCACTCACTCATAATGTTAATGTTTGCAGTAATGATAATCCGTGTACTTGAATAGAGTCAAGTCCCATACACGAGGAATATGCTCACAGAGCTAACCATATTACCCAAGTCAGTGCTCGACGACCCAAGCTGCCCGTGAGGTGCTAGAAAGGTAACAGTCGTATGAGCATTTCATCCCACCGGGTACCCATTTACTGCTGCTGAACAGAGGCAATATTTAACAATGTCACTTGCCTTAGTTTAGACCACATATGTGAGGACAACTCTTCATGTGCTTCGTTGAAGGGCAGGACCAAAGTCTTAGAAACCTTCAGGGGTCGAGTTGCCAAACTTGGTCACCAATCCAATCCAAGGACTCTGCACGACCATAATTACAACTGCTTTGAGGCCAATGCTCTTTGCACTAGACCAGGCACCACCGCTTACGGTTTGGGTATTTGTATCGGAGTAAAACATCTCATTATAATGATATCATAATAAGATTAGTCATCTGTGATATATAAAGGAGTAGCCTGGTGGTCAAAGCGTTCGTTCGTCACGCCGAAGGCCCCGGGTTCGATTCCCCACATGGGTACATTATGTGAAGCCCATTTGTTGTGGCGGCGTAAAACCATAATCACTCACTGGTATATTTAAACTGAGGAGCAAAAGAAACTATAACTCTCAGTTGATTTCATTATATGTTTAAATGTTTATTGAAGATACGACTTGTATGATCTTGATGTATCTTGCCAGTTGTTTGAAAATGTACATCATGTACCAACTGTACGGTTGGACATGAGATTGAAGTATTGATTGATCGATGATTGACAGATCGATTGCCTACTTATCCCAGTGTATTAGTTTTCTACTTAATGATGTACCCAGCTTGCAATGATTCCTCTACTCATGTAACCAACTGTTCCACTACCTTTCCATATAAATTTATAGTACACCCACCCTGCGGCTACAATATATCAATTTACCGTAGTGTGAAATGTCAATGGAAATGTATGGTTGGTGCAGCCCCAATACCATTTAGGGAACCATGTGGCCTCTACATCGGTTTCCGTGAAAACCAGGGGTCCTGAATGTGTTGTTTGGTGAGCACGTACCATGGTGACAGGACGAGAGACTAAAGAGCACGGCTATAAGAACTGGTATAAATAGACATTTGTATGAGTGGAGGTTCAGACAGCTTGTTAGCAAAATTGTTTTTATGTGTGAGAATACAGCTTACTGCCAATTCCAACTGACAGATGCAACTGGATCATATATATGTGTTACAAATGTCCATCGGTACGGTTGGTTGCCTTTAATGCATAATACTGTTAGGATTTTACGTTCGCTTTCACAACTCATTTGGCCACTTTCCACAAATCAATATTACGGAGCGTTCATAATTTATGGCTATGGTTGATGACGATTTTAAGGGGGGATCGCCTATTTTGTTCTGTGGAGTTAATAGGACAGGTCATCAATTTTGTACATAAAAATGATCACCACCTCCTTCCCCCCACACCCCCACCCATCACCTGGGTCATAAATTGTGAACTCTACCTAAGGATATAATAGATCTGCTGTTTCAAAATTTACAATTTTGTTAAACTGGTACGACTTCCACAAATCTCAAATAATATATTCTTAACACTGAAACCTAACTAAAAACAGTCCTGTCATGTACTTTCCGGTCTAAAATCACAAATTGAAAACACAGTGTACGAGTCACTCTCTATTGTTTGTGGTATCATAATCATACACGCCTTCATGTTTTCTTTTTGACTTTATTAATCAGTTTTTCAAGTATGTCCTATAACCTTTATATGGTTTGATATACCGTGTCGTATGGACACAGATATGGAAATAGTTTTATACACACATGCTCGAACACTTCACTTCATCTCGCACTCGCCAGCAAAGGGGGCACTGTACGTCAACCTTATACTAACGTGTACTTATGAATAAAGTTCACAGCCAAATATGAACTTACTCAAGTCCTGTGATTATGAGTCAGCCCCGTATGTCAACAAAGGACGCGCCTGATTCTGCCATGTCATTGTATACTCACCACGGCGCTGTTTAGCAAGTCACGTGACTACAGGGCAACATGGCGCACATCGAGCAGGAAGGGAAGATCGAGGAGAGCGAGAGTCCTATGTAAGACGAATTAAGAATTGAATCTTTAATGTACAAATTGCTAAACATATATCTAGTTATGTGTTATTTATCAATGTGATATCATTTCACGACATCGTAAGGTTTTGCGGCAAGGGAGTTCGGATAACGCCAGAGTTGATGCTTGGGCTATGCTTGTCAGAAATGTTTAGTTACCGTTTAACCTCTATTAGGCGCATCGCTTCCAGCTCCAATACAGGCCGGCCTCTTATATTAGTGACATCAAGTTGAACACTCTGTCCTAAAACTGAAATGGTGTGTAGGAGGCCCAGGGAGTGACCTGAGCTGAGGCTAAATTATCTCAATTTTGAAATTATAAGAGACAGTTTAGCTTATTAAATCTGGCCGCTATCTTACGTCTGGTCTGTATTAGAGACCGGACTTATTATTTGCTGAAGTTAATAATACTTGTCACATTAACTTTCCGCGTGTAATGATTACTCCCTTTCACTTAGTATTGACCGTTTCCTGCTAGTGTAGTGTTTGTATGCCTGGGTAATTTGGTAATTTTGTACTGGGGGAGGTTGAGACTTGCCAGATGGCTAGCATTCCAGAATAGACACCAGGCCTTTAATGAACTCCGTGTCAACAACTAGTGTGAAAAAAGAAGTACCGACGTCTAAGTGCGGGAATACGGTACACATTATTGCTGCTGCTGCAGGATATTAAACGTAACGTACATGCCACAGACCATGAACTAGAATAATGGAATATTGATTAATGTGAGAGACTCGTTGTTGGAATATGTTATTACAAGCTCGTGTCATGTTGACTAGACCAGTGTCCACATTCAGTGTGTAAGTCCCTCGTGTGGTACACCTTATCTCACTTACTCACAAACACACACACGCGCGCGCGCACACACACACACATATTGTTTGTGTGTTTATACCTAGTTTAGGCAAACACATTCACAATTCAAGATCACAGGAGATCAGTTCAGTAACTAAATGTGTGTAACTACCATGTGTGTAACTACCATGTGAGGCGGTGGGGTAGCCTAGATGTTAAAGCGTTGGCTCGTCACGCCGAGGACCCGGGTTCGAATCCCCACATGGGTACAATGTGTGAAGCCCATTTCTGGTGTCCCCCGCCGTGATGTTGCTGGAATATTGCTAAAAGCGGCGTAAAACCAAAACTCAGTCAGTCAGTAACTACCATGTGTGTAACTAAATGTGTGTAACTACCATTTGTGTAACTAAATGTGTGTAACTACCATGTGTGTAACTACCTTCTGGTCTAAGGTAACGTCAAACGTCCTTGAAGCAGTATCCCGTGAAGATCCGGGTTAGAATTTGTCTTCAGCAACCCATGTTTGCCGTAAGAGGCGACTAACGGGAACGGGTGGTCAAGCTCGCTGACCAAGTAGACACATGTCATCGTATCCCAATTGCGTAGATCGATGTTCATGATGTTGATCACTGGATTGTCTATTCCCGACTCGATTATGTACAGACCGCCGCCATATAGCTGGAATATTGCTGAGTGCCCTCGTTAAACAACAACCAACCAACCTTAGCCTTACTCTATAGATGAAGGCCCCAACAAGAGTCAGTTTATAATTACACAACAGTGGGGACTGCCGATCTCGCATGATGTGAACAACGGCACTGATGGTGTTGCTTTAACCGTGTTTTCAGGGCTGACCCCATGGAGAGTAGGAGACGGTGTAAACTGCACTGGAAGCCGACATCTGCGGGGAAGTTAGCTGAGGTGGAACAGAAGATTCTTAAATGTAGGACCTTTCACTTGTAGTAGAAAACCATGCAATGTTGTATGTGACTGATAAGGGTTGAATGTATTGAAGCACCTTAGATACTGACAGATCAACAGAGAGAAAGCCATCAGATTCAAATTATGTTGAGATGAATTCAGCTGCATGCCAACACTATGACACATGTTTAGGAAGATACATGGTGTACACACTGGTACCGCATCATTATTGAATTGTTTTGTGATGAAATATTGTCTTTTCTTATCATTTAAAGATGTTTTTTAATAAAATTCACGTAAATATGTATGTGTATAATCAATTCCTATTGCGCACAGGTTTGCTTGAATTTTTGTAGATACTCAATAAATTTGATCTTACATACGTACACACAAAAATGTCAAATCTTAGCTTGCGTACCGGTGGATAGATAAAATAACAGGTATACTGAGAGGTTCTATTTCAACACATGATGTTAAGCCCATTTCTGGTGTCCCCCGCCGTGATATTGCTGGAATATTGCTAAAAGCGGCGTGAAACTAAACTCAGTCAGTCAGTCAGTCAACACATGAACTTCGCAACATGGAGTCTTTCTTATCGTTTCTCATATTACAGATCAAATATAATTAACAAACACGTAAACCAACATTTAAACTTTATTATATGTTTACAATTAATGGAATATGGCAAAATACCCAATTGAGTTTGAGTGAGGTGGGTACAATTTATTTGGTTACTCAAAGGAAAAATAAGATACCTAACTGAGATGAACACAAGCGAGTACATAACCCAATGTGATCTGTAGCTCTGGTAATAATGATATAACTTTAATCATTTGTTGAGATATGTGTACTGTGTTACAAAATTACAAAACCAAGGACAGGGGAAATTGTAAACAAGGGACGAAGTAAGACAAGCACTGACAAACTGTAAGTCAATGAATATGGTTCCGCGGTAAACACTGTGAGCTGGTCATTATACATACATGAAATCTGCAACAAAATGACTGGACTATTACTTGCATCACACTGGTCAATATAGTACCCAGTACCACTTTATTTGATCTTGCAAGTCAATCGGACCTTGAAAGTGTCAGTTAAATGCTTGTTAAACTGTCTGACATACAGTATTTTTTTTCTGATATTGACTTGAAGTTGAAACCTGTCTTAGACATACTGTGGATATTAGTACATTTACACTTACTAATATACTGTTGTTGTTTGCTGCAGGTATGAAAAGCAAAACAAATGGCCGTTTCGTGAAGACAACCAACTGCAATATCTGGACAGTGATCGTTAACGCTCACCTGGATGCCGTGCCCCTCGTGTTGGTCCACGGGATGGGAGGTGGGGTAGCCATGTGGATCCAGAACCTGGACAGTCTTGCTGAGAACAGGCCCGTGTATACATTTGACCTTCTTGGATTTGGCAGAAGCTCCAGACCCACATTCAGCACAGACGCTTGGGAAGCTGAGGCTGAATTCGTGAGGTCATTGGAGGAATGGCGCCAGGAGGTCAAACTTGACCGCTTCATACTCTTAGGTCACAGCCTGGGGGGATTTGTTAGCAGCTCCTATGCCATACTGTACCCTGAAAGAGTTGAACATTTAATTCTGGCTGATCCTTGGGGTTACCCAGAGAAGCCATCGACCACTGAATCCAGGCGAAGCTATCCGCTTTGGGCTCGTGCCCTTGTAAAAGTCCTCCAACCTTTCAATCCATTCACAGCCCTCAGATTGGCTGGACCCTATGGCAAGTTTATGTATGCGGTCGTGCAGAATTTTCGTTTTGTTTACATTCCTTCATGAGAAACAAGGGGCGGTGGGGTAGCCTAATGGTTAAAGCGTTGGCTCGTCACGCCAAAGCCCCGGGTTCGAATCCCCACATGGGCACAATGTGTGAAGCCCATTTCTGGTGTCACCCCCCGTGATGTTGCTGGAATATTGCTAAAAGCGGCGTAAAACCAAACTCAGTCAGTCAGTCAGTCAGTCATGAGAAAAAAGTCACAATTAATTTACAAGTGATCTGACGCTTCCAGTTCCGCTTCAAAATAGTGCCTCTTACCTGGCTTGCCCAGTAGTACATCCAAGACTTTAGTTCACCAGGATGATGTGAGCACCAGACTGCCTATAAGAAATAGACTCAACAGATTCGTAAATGCCCACGACTCGCTTCTATAGACCCCTGACACGATACGTTTAAACGCCAAAATGTATTTATTCTTTATGGTAGGTAGTATGTTACTTTTAAGATTTATTCGTCATAGCTTTTTCAGATTCACTTTATCTTTATTTTCAGGGCCAGGTATTGTGAAACGGTTCCGTCCAGATCTGAAGGCGAAATATGCCAACTATTTGAATGATGACGAAGATTTAATCCTTCAGTACTTGTACCACTGCAATGCACAAAAGCCAAGGTGAGTCCCTTCTTTCAGTGGAGTACCGTTTTGTGACAAGGTTCAAACACATTTATATGTATATGTAGTGGATGTCACAGACGGAATTCCAATTTGGGCAGTTCATCATGGATATTTGACATACGTGTATCGCTATTATACACTGATGGTGTTATCATCTTGTCATGTTTTGGTGAATTGACTCTCTGTCATTGTTATCAGAAATGTTTCAGCTCCCCTGGTTTGTTCGGTTTATGATCAATTCCCTCGATACAACCTTGGGGTAATCTTCATGAAGTTAGGTCCGGCGTAACAATATTCATTTTGTAATGTGTTTTCATATTTGGAAAAAAAGCAAAACTGAGTGTTGATTAATTGAAGATTGTATGTCCTTACAGTGGGGAAATAGCAGCCAAGACATTGCAGACCCAGTTTCGCTGGGCTAAACACCCAATGATCAACAGGATGGGTGACTTGGACGCCAATGTGCCAATGACGTTCATACATGGGAAGGAGTCCTGGTTGGACGGCGATGTCGGTGACAACGTCAAGCAACTCCGTCTTGGCAGCCACGTAGAATCACATGTACGTCCCATTGCTTACAAAAACATGTTACTGGTTTGTTGAACGTGTGAAGTGGTGTGTATTCGTGGTTTAATGTATAGCAAATTAAAACGATTTTCGCATAGTTATATACTTTCAATGTTTAACCAGCATGTAACATTAATAACTGGTATGTTTTGCATTCGTAACTACTCGCCTCTTTCCGTTACCTACAAGAAAGCTCGTACCCCGATCGTACGCCAATATTGCCAAAGAATCGTGGCAAACCAATCAAATCGCGCGTAGTAAAACGCATTTCGAAGCATGAAAATGGCGGCCCCGTTGAACTTTGAAACTTCGCTAAACTATGCAAAGCACAATTCAAACATAAACTTTGAGCTAAAGGATCCGCGACTTTCAACACTGAAACATATTTACAAAGGGAATGACTCTATTGCTATTTTGCCCACGGGATATAGGATCTAGGAGCCATGTTAGGAAATTCAGAGTTATCTTTCCTTGGTAATAGTAATAGACTATTTTCATCTTCATGTCCGTTTGCGCTTAGACAGGGCCCAGTTGTAAACATGGCCACGAGAGGGGTACGAGACTACAAATGGTATGTTTTGTAGTCCACTGAAACCCCGACAGACCGGGCAAATGGGACGAAATACTTCCAATGGAATCGTCAAGAATAACAAATTTCAGGACTTAAGAATCATGGATTATGTATATATGGCCCACGAATTAAATGATGATTCACGATACAAAGATTATATGTCAGGAAGAGATGTTTCTATGTAATCTGGACCAGGAACAACTGGTAATTAATGGGTTATAAGTATTTTAATACAATCCTACAATAATGCTTCATGTGCAAGTGTACAAACTCTTTCTGTCGCTGATGTCAATGTGTTTCCTTCATCTAGACGGTCTCGGAAGCTGGTCACCATGTGTACGCTGACAGGCCGCAAGCCTTCAACCACATAGTACTGCAGATCTGTGACACGGTGGACCTTGCTGCACGTGGAGAACTGGCCGGAGGGAGCAGTCTCAAGAGGACGTCAACTTGATTGTCTGTGTGACTGTCATATGACGATGGCATTCCACATGTATACGTGAAGGTGCCTCGTCATATGACGATCGAGTGCCATCTGTACACGTGGTGATGCCACGTCATATGACGATGGTGTGTCACCTCGGTGATGGGGGACCTATACGTAGCGTTACTGTGATAAAACATGACATGACAACACATACATTTGAAGGTGAATTACTGCCACGAATGTATCTTTTTATGACCCATATAGTCCACAGTTGAACAATATTTTCAACACTGATGTTATATTTATCTGAATTATGAAGTCGTATGATATAATAAGGTATATGATAAAGTCCTTATGCGCTGGTTGTTTGGGACAAGACTGACAAATGACATGCAGTGAGAGTGACGGCTTGTACTGCTTTTTGCGATGCTCCTGCACAACCGGTTCAAATCAGCTTATATATTGTCTTAGTCCTAGCTTAATCTATGTACTCAAACCTATATGCTCTTTCATAGAGTTGAGTGATAACAGACATAGTTGTTAGTTCTGTAAATCTGCGAATTACATTTTCAAAGAACTACAAACCGAATGGAAAAGTTGAAAATGTTTTGCTCTGCAGTTGAAGGGAAGTAACTCGTGGAGTGCTCTTTGTCGGAGCGCGACGGTCTTTGTTGCCAGCGTACTACAGCAACATAGCAACAAGACGCTACCTATTTCACGTGTTAGGCGTGTGGGGGCCGGAGTGGAGGTGGGGTTGGCAAGGGTTGAAGAATATATATGTCTGTCTGTTATCTGCGCATTGATATATTATTTATATAAATATACATATACAATTGATGACCGACATTGCCTTCCGATTTTTCAGGTAATCACATTTTTTTAGTTTAAAGATCTCGGGGAAACAAACTTAGCTTTCCTAAGTAACTGCGGTTAAGGTGGAAGTATATTTGTACATTTATATGTTTTTATGGTTATATATTATATGTAATTTGTCGTTTTGTGTTGTTTTACAAAGATGTATTGATTTTGTGAATAAAATTAATATATGAGTATTATTGTGTACTGTAATAATTACTACTTCTCGGTACAACAGAAACATCATGCATTATATAACAGTTAACAGGAACAGTCAGGAACATTGGATATATACAGATAAAGTCTTTACTATATACTTGTTAGTCTCGTGTGGTATTATCACAAGCGGTAGCCTAGTGGTGAAAACATTCGCTCGTTTCGCCGAAGGCCGGGGTTCGATTCCCCACATGGGGTTCGATTCCCCTCATGTCTGAAGCCCATCTCTGTGGTCCCCCGCCGTGATGTTGCTGGAATATTTGTAAAAGCGGCGTAAATCTAAACTCACTCACTGTTATCACAGGCAGATGAAATATTTAGCCTTCTGGTCTGTTCATGAGTAGACAGATACTGGTTGGCTCGCAACGCCGAAAGCCCGGGGCTCGATTTTCCACATGGGTACAATGTGTGAATTTCTGGTGTCCCCCGCCGTGATATTGCTGAAAGCGACGTAAAACTAAACTCACTGTATCAGTCTGGACAGGATGGCCAGTGTAGCGCAGCTGGGATATGTCTGGCCACGGCGAGCATGTCGGCGGAGCCACGAACAGCGAGCATATAGGTCATAGACCCTAGCCTAGCGGAAAGGGATGTATGAACCACCCCATCATACTTGTAATAACTGCTTTCTCTGTTTTAGACAACATTCTTATCTACCACAATTCAACTGTCACATTTGCAGCGTTGAATGCAACACTTCAGACATCCCACAGTTTATGAGACTCGTTTTGTTATTTGTTTGTTTGAACACTTCAGACATCCCACAGTTTATGAGTTTGTTTTGTTTTTTGTTTTGGGTGGGGGGGGGTTGTTTGGGGTTTTGTTGTTGTTGTTTTTGGGGGTGGGGGTGGTGGTGTGTTTTGGTGGGTTTTTTTTGTAGCTCTCACGTTGAATGTAATTGATGCATATATATTGAGATTAGTGAAACCTTCTCAACCGTCACGCTACCGGCTGCACCATTAGGTGAATAAATAGTTCGATCAACTTATAAGGGTTAGGATAAGGATTGTTTTAAGGCAACTTCGTTCAACTTTAAACAACGCAGCCAGGGGAAGGGAAGTAACTCGTGCTGTGCTATCAACAAACAGAATAGTTCGTTCAGTTAATCACAGACAATATAGTTCGTGAGTCTGGGTTAACGCTGGGATTCATACTAAATATTTGAACAGGAATCAGTCCATAAAAGAAGCAGCTGTGAAACCAACAAACAGAAAAGCTATGTGATGTAATTAACAACTGTGTTCGAAAAATTAACCAAGTTTACAGATCAATATAAACAACACAAAAGTACCACTGTGGCAGTACACAACTGAGTGGCAATTCAAATCTAGAGTTAATATCATACAAAAGCAGTGTATCAGCAGTAACGACAGTGATGGTAACATTGACCTCTCAGCATCAGTAATCCAGCTTGGCCTGGAGGGTATATGGTTATCACACAAAATGCTGGTCTTCTTGTGGTTCGAGGTCAGGTGAGGTGAAATTGGGTTTAACGTCGTGCTTGAGAATATTTCGCTCATATGACGACGTGCATGCGTGTGTATTTGTAGGTGCGGCTGCTTGTACTATCCCAGACTGAAGCTGGTTTTATAGTGCTAGCCCACTGAGACACCATGCCGCAGTGAAGCATGAATACCCCACTCAGACACATTATACTGACTCCGAGCCGACCAGTCCTTGTTGTACCCATTAATGCCGAGCGCCAGACAGGGACCAACAAGTACCATATTTTAACGTCTTTTGGTATGACGCGGTCGGGGATCGAACCCGCGACCTTCCGCTCTCCGGGCGGACACTCTAACCACTACACCACGGAGGCGGTCTGGTTCGAGATGTAATGTGTAATGAGAAGCAAACATCTATCTACTCTTATATACATCTCTCAGGTAGATGATTCCGGAATAAGATCTTTGTTGCTATTTCTAGATCATTCTATATTCCGTGTGCCAGAACACGCTGGAAGCCGTGAAGATACAGGTTTGAATTGGTCTTCAGTAACCCATGCTTGTCGTAATAGACCACTAACGGGATCGGGTGGTCGGGCTCGCTGACTTGGTTGACACATGTTATCGTATTCCAGTTGCGTAGATCGATGCTTATAGTGTCAGTCACGTTTTGTTTGGTCCAGCCTCGATTATTTACAGACCGCCATCATATAGCTGGAAATTGCTGAGTTTGACGTTAAACAACAAAGAAACAAATCTAAATATAGCACACCATTGCCTCTTACTGAATCCACAGGTACAATGTACAAGAGCGGAGACACTGTTGCGCAATGTGTAACACTGCCTTTGTTACACTTTTCAATAACTTATATTTCCAAATTAAAGAAATTATGGAGACTTAGCAATGTCCATCAATGTTTTTATGGACCTTTCGAACAGAACTCGTTTGGAGGCGGAGTTCCCAGACAGGGGAGATCATAAGCACATCCTGATCTGCGTCTCACTACACATATTATCAGCAGTCTATTCTTAGCAACTAATGACTTTCAGTAACCTTTAACGGTAACGCTGACTTAAGCGGATTAGTTCAATCCCCAGGAGCGTTATTTGTCTGCCGTTGTTCACAGTAGAACACTTTTGAAACTGACACTTTGTAAGGTGTGAGGTATAACTCCAAATCCCAACTGTCAATACACATGCGGTCGCCCTTGTCACCTAATGTGTGGTACTCGACCGTATTGTTGTCAGTCATGTTGATGCAGGCGCCGATTAGGAAATGCCAAGGGTGTTAATGCTGATATTATACAGATATATGTATGACCATCGTTTTGTCTGGGATGTGCGGACAAAGTAAGGCGGTAACATAAGCGTTTAATCAGCTAGAAACAGTAATTAGTTGAAAACTACACCATATCTTCCGATGCTAATCCAAGATCCTACCATGTAATAGCAGTGACGCGGTCGTCTATCTGAATGGTCACACATTTAACATTTTCCAACGGTAGCCGAGCGTCTGAATGTGAACCCCGGTATTCTCGACTCCCCATTGCAAGAGGAGGGAACCTGACCGTGCAGCAACTGAAGGACCAAAGCGGCCTTAGCGAAACACAGCAGCGTTACACATTCCACAGCCCGTGCGTTCATCAAAGGAATGGAACAAGTATCCATTATAGCACCAAGGGTTATAGAGGAGGTGCTCGGTGACACTTTAAAGACAGGTGTTTATCTTTCAAAGCACGCTTGGCTCGGTGTGGGCTTTAGTTTTAAAGATTAGAAAAATGGCATTTCAAATAGATACTCAAGTGTTGCATAAATTGCAACATTTTTGAAAATAATTTTTTTCTGCGAAAGAATCAAACATCCACACAAACATTCGTACATGAATTCAAGCATGGCTCATTGTCTGTTTCGTTGGAAATGTGGTGACCTGAACTCATATTGCTGAGTCTACATCAGTAAACGTGGCGCGGGAATGTGTATCGGCGAGGGGTCACCATCCTCCACTTTCCTATCTCACTGGGGCATTGATGTCAACTCTATTTCTGGATCCGTTGATTCCAATACATCTTCATTTTCCAATTTGACACGAAGAACACGCTACACTAAAACAAAACGCAACATCAATACAGCATTCGTCATTAGAGACATCCACAATCATTCGGGAGTCAATAAAGATTATAGGACTCGTGACCTCGTTCTCGTTATCCAATCAGCACTTCCGTTATTGCAAGACCCCAAGGCGCCACTTGGTTCAGATCTCTTAAACCCATCTGGCTTGATATCCCTGCGCCGCAGACTTAGAGCAGGTTAACAGGGTGGGTCACTCAATAGGTTTGATCTAATATGAGCTGAGTACCGACTAGAAGGAGATTAAATGATCGTGTGAAAGTTGTAGGCTACTTTGTGACAATTGAAATGAGGTCTGTGGTCATGCATGTGGACAGAGGTATCCACTGAAGGTGCAGCATGTTGAAATATCACTGTTTTAATAGACTCGGTGCTGATAGATAAAGGATCATAACTGTGGCGGGTCTTGAACCCAACCTGCAGCTGTAATCACCGGATTCTGTAATGGGGCTAAGGATGCAACTTTATACAGCAATGTGCCCGGCATTAGACCATTGCTACCCAACCCTGCCCCCCGCTTGTTAGTGAATATTACTTAAAGGTTAAACGCCCATTGTTCATTACAGTATAAAGCATAAATATGTGGCAATCTACTCACCCCATGTTGATAAAAAGATTAATCAATATCAGTTCATTCAATGTTATTATCATTAAATGTCAGTTATATATCAACTATAACAAACGTAACAATGAATCGATGCACGGTACTTCATATTACATCTCTGCTTGCTGTTGTCAAATTAACTAGGTTCTGGGTTCTATTTAGTATTGTAAGACGGAAGTCTAGCATGCATGTCTGCTACTGACCGAAGACAAAACGTTACATGAGAAACCTGCTGGATATTTCATGATTTGTGCAGAGTGAAGTTATTTGATCAGCATTACACCTGCGTGTCAAAATCAACTGATCGAATTGTCGAGACCAAGTGTGTTTGAGCGTAGAAAACCATGTGCTGTGGGAACAATGAAGCTTGTTGGTGATGGAGAACGATTAAATCCTCGGGCGAGATTGACATGTGTACATAATGGCGCCGATAAAGTTTGATCAGGGCTCAATCCGCCATCCAAATTGTGGAATTCAACAACAAACGTACTTCAGGTTAAGTGGGATGTTGGAGAATTCCGTCAGCGGTTAAGGCAATTTACGACTTAATACAAAGACAGTTGTTATACGACGTGATAACCAAGGTTCGACGCTTCGTGTACCGCTAAATGAGCTCGGTGGAGCGATGTGACGGGTTGCCGGCTTCCCAGGTCAAGGGTCAACAATGATTAAAGTCATTTCTGTTTTGTCTAGGGAAACAAAAGTATCAAACGGATAAAACAGACCCGTTTTGCAGCCGAGGCCTCATTGAAGTATAGGGCAGGTATGTACGATAAACACTGTCCTACATGTTAAAATCTACATTGTCGTTACTACAGAACATGGGTGTTCCAAATTGAATCATTTTTCTGATGTTTCAATATCGTCAGTCATGTATTTAGCTATTCATCAGAACATCCTTCTAAATTATCTCATCCCTTCGGGCGTAATATGCAACTGGGTATAATTTAGGTATCTTGATGTGGTCGTATGCACGTATGACACCGAGGTCATGTTCATACATGTCTCAGATACTGACAGTACCTTGGAAACAATGAAAATGTCGCAAACACATAATGCACATGATACATCGCATCACATGATACATGTGGGAAATCGAGCCCCGGGCTTTCGGCGTTGCGGGCCAACCAGTATCTGTCTACTCATGAACAAACCAGAAGGCTAAATATTTCATCTGCCTGTGATAACAGTGAGTGAGTTTAGTTTTATGCCGCTTTTAGCAATATTCCAGCAATATCACGGCGGAAGACACTATACATGGGCTTCGCACATTGTACTTATGTTGGGAATCGAACCCGGGCCGGGTGAAGAGCCAGCTCTTTAACCACTTGGTAAAGTCATCCCTATATGACACAAAGACGCGTGCAGGGAAAGTAATTGATAGTGTTACTGATACTTATACAACGGAACAGTTATGAAAGATGTACAAAATCGATTTCGGTTTCTGTCCGCCAATATGAGTATGTCACTCTGTAAAGTATGCGACAGGTCAGAACATTAATACATGATCCGGTTTCAAACCATTATATATGGAAATTGTATTGTGCACATTGTTTACTTTCTTCAAGGCGGTATATATATCGCCTCCATCATGATCAAGACCATCAAGTAACATACAACTACAACTACAATTACTGCATACAAAAATAACACAAAGTTTGGACATTTGATGGACATTTTAATCTCACCTTGAGCGATAAAACCATTGCAATGATCAATGTGATATGCATCATAAACAAACAACAAATACATGTCTTTGAGGTCGTGTTGAGAATGTACATAACCTGTCGAAAGATAAAGGACACTGGATCGTTGACCCGAGGAGATAAATTATATCATATCATATATTAAATCATTAGTCATTTATCTTTGAATACAAATGTCATATTTTAATGTGTATATTTTATCATACTCATATTCAGTCATGATATTTACTGTAAACTCTCTATCCCTTGTGTAAGAGTTATTCGCATTTTTTCAGTTGATATTGACCTGACCCTTTTTAATTTATGTTAAATTCATTATATTCCATGGATTGAAGGGTAAGCCGTTGCCGCGGCTTCCTTAATGGTATGGATTTGATCAAATTGCATACATTTAGGACTGACGAAAGTTTCAACTGCCAAACGTTTGTTACAATCTTTGGCAGAGTTGAACTTATCAAACCTTATACTAAAGAGAATAAGTCGTGAGTTGACACAAATTACATTACAGCCACAAAATGGACTTACAATACAAAACACTGGTGTTGATTTATATATGAAAATGCAGTATGTGGTAAAATGAGAGTGCTGTAGGCAATGGAAGCACTATAAAAGTAGAATGCAAAACTGACTAAGCAAACAAATTATATGGCAAAAACTTAACTCAAAATTTCTTAGTCTCTAAAGTTTAAGTCGCTTCTTTGTGTAAACTATGTAGTCACAAACCTTCAAATCTTCACCAGCAGTCAATTATATTATTCAATTATTTATTAATACTGATATAAACAAACAGTGTTAAAGTCTTTCTCTAGGTTCAAATATATTCATATATTAATACTTTAAAATATTTTACAGGTGCGTTAAACTCAAATTTTCTAATCCTTCACAGGTTTTCCTATCTTTTCTCCCCCTTGCCATCGAAGTTTTTGGAGTTCTGACACCTCAAAGTAGGACAACGGGTCGTCTTCTATAAAGTCATCATATTCTAGTTCAATGTCCACAGAACCGACCTCAGAAGGCGTGTTAATGCTCCTGGTAGGAGACATAGTTTTAGCACTTTTGGAGCTGCGACTGCTTTTTGTACTGCGAGGTGTGGAACTCTTGGAATGCTCCTCCCTAGTGGGAGATTTGGGACTCTGCCCGTCTGGTTTAGGCAGCAGTTTTTGACGCTCCTCCATTGCAGACGGCTTCTTTTTTTCTCCTTGTGACTGTTTTGTAGTTCGTATTTTGGGTTTAGCACCAATAGACTCTGTTGAATAACTCTCTGTGAGAGACGTAGGCCGTCTTGCTTTGACAGACGACTGTATGAATGAAGTAGTCTCATTATTTGCATCAGGATACTTTTCATCCCCATTTAACCGGGAATGTTCCTCACGAAGACTCTCCAGTATAATCACTTCATTCTGGGGTGTCCTGTCACCTCCGGGGGTCCTAGCAACCGCTAAAGAAACTTTCACCGGTGCCACACTTTTATTCACTACTGGTGTGGGTGTCTCTGGCGTGACTATTGGAGCATCTTTTGATGATCCCGAGGAACCAGTTACTATCCTTTCGGATTCAGTAGTCAGCTGCTCCTTTCTCTTCTTTGTAAGAAGTTCATGTTTAGTTTTAGATGGTGAACATGGAGTTGCTGCCCCAGGAGAATGTTTGAACTTTGGTGAAGGATGAATTTTAGGTGATCTTGGTCTACAGTTTCTTAGATTTGGACTAGCTTTAAAGAAATTTGAGTTATGCAGAAACTCTTCTGGAGGTGAGTGTGCAGTATATGGACTAGGTAAGGGGGAATAGTTTTTGGTGGAGGGTTTAGGACTACCTGTTACAGATTCTGCCTTGGACCGCAGTTTCTTGAACCCAGCACTGCATGTACTAGATATTGAAGAACCCCTCGACAACATATTGTCTTTCTTTGTCGCCTCACCAGTGAGGGGTGCCTCAACGTCGACGTTAGTTATTCCAGGAGGCGGGCTACTACACCGACTACTGTGCATACTGGTGCTACGAGCTATGTGGAGTGGACTCTCAGAGGCCGCCATTGCGTATTTATGCCGTTTGTGATAGAGTCTGTGGAAAAGCACGAAGGTAATGACAACTAACACTATGAGAACACACAAGGCAATTCCAACGACGGCTACTTTGCTGTCGAGAATAGATGACTTTTCCCGGCGAATTATGGTTGATGTACGCGTACCACCTCCAGCTGTAAAGGAAATGAGACACTGTAACAAGAGTTCGAGAGACAGGTTAGAGGTATTGCAGAGGAAGGTATAAGTACGTTTCATGCTGAAGCAATAATACAGTACATTCGATCTTTAAATTCTCGGGTGTATACTTTATTTTACCTGGCATTTAATTATTCAGTCTATTTTCAATGTGTTAAGTTTCTGCCATGACCCCGAAGAAGATGCATTAAGCAAGGTATATCTGTCATCATTAACAAAACATCATCTATAAGTCTGTATTTGTGTGTAGAAATGCATTTGATCTCACATTCTCAGTCAAATTAGTCTGATATAGCATTGTGAATATTCTCTAATAGCAATATTAATCTCAGTCTACATATTTTTACTCTCAACCTTTTCTTTAAGTGGTGTTTTATGTATCTAAATCCAAAACAAACCTCTCTTTCCTTAAAATGCACTTACCGACTACCCTATAAGATGCGATGAATCCATGGAGGTGAATTAACTGCGTTGCGTTGATGGGGAATATTGCTATAGAACTTGGGGCTTCATCGGAGGCAAAAGTCATCAGTTCAACACTCATCTTGTTGGACGAAGAGCTGATTTCATTGTGAGGATGTTCACCATTTATGCTACTGTACAATATGTCTGACATGGGTGTGTCTCCATCGCGGACCTTCACCCACTGTTTGGACTCCAGTATATTGAAGTGAGTAAACGTGAGTTTAATCTGCTGGGAGTCTTCTACCTCTATCGTCCACATAGCTCTGCCGGAGCATCTTCCACTTGCAATTATTTCCCCTGAATCAGAAGACATCCCACACCCACAGGCACACCGCATGTCGAACTTTGGGGATTTCAGAGGGCCGTTGGGTAAATATCCTAAAACAAACAAGACGAGCAGGATGTCAGTGATCGGTGAAATTTTACCGTATGATTAATATATTTTGTGATTGAGTGAATGAGTATAGCCTTACGCAGCAATTAGCAATAAATATTCCAGCTGTGTTACTTTGACGCATACCAGGAATCAGGGCCATTGAGCTCTTCCTGGACCAACCAACACTTTATCAAATACGGGTACCCCTACGTCCCACAATAGTGCTCATTCGTGGTGTAAAACATATGTATCTTCCATCAATGCTTTGTGGCCATCTAAGACTGAAAAGCTACCTATAGGCATTATACTATATTTATGTACATGCGTTCTACACGCAGGGTATCTTTCGGAGAGTAAGAATACATTTTACCTCGGAACACTTGCACAAAGCAATCTTAGCGCTACAACCGTCTTGTCAATGTCAGAGAAGTTGATTTACGATCATCGTAGCGCTAAGATCGCTTTGTGCATATCCGCCCAGGAGTTGTGGGATTGTATATATCTACCTGGACAATTCATATTACAAGGCTTCCACTGGACGGGGTCACCCTCGCAGAACTTGCCCCCATGGAGAGGGGCAGGGTTATTGCAAATTCTGAAGCGGTTCCTTTTACCAGAGCCACAGGTGACGGTACAAAGAGACCACTCGGTCCATTCACTCCATCCACCATCTATATAAAACACTGCAACAAAGAAATACATGTTTTATTTCAAACCTGGTTGCAGGAAATTTCTTAACAGACCAACATTAGTTTTGTACCTGTCTCTATCAATGTTGGTGGTCTAGAAATGTGAGAGAACATGTTCTAAACTAGAGGCTACATAAACCACGTATAGCCTATATTTAAATTGAGCCATTTACATATACATTATGATCAAATTCATTTGTAGTGTGCATGTGTGAGGCACAATTACCGTATTGCCTGTGTTATGAATTGCGCTTTTTTGAGGCACACAAACTAATTAGAGTATACGGAGGATTATAAATGCAACTTTACAGCCATACATTTATGCATACTTCATCTAGAAGACGAAATATACTTTTTGCCCAATCTCAACATCTTAATAATTGGTTTCGACATGTCTAAGTAAGCAGAGATACTCCTGCACTTCAGTTCAGTAATGATTGACAGTTCTAAGGTATGTAGCTGATGAGTGCTATTAGGAACACTGACATTATCAAGCACACAAAGGATTCACACGCCAATGGCCACATAAACGTGCATTGTCAGTGCTCATTCAGTGATAACATAAGAGAATAGGTTTTTGTGTTTTCCAAATGCGATGACAGATCAACACACACTTTTCCAGGACTGACAGTTGAAGTCAGCTTGATAGACAACTCAAGCCGAGCTATTCAGAGAGGTCTCACTTGGAACAGATCAAATTGTATTCCCACTGCGTTGTCCTGGCCTCGACAATAGCCGTTAAAACCCCAATGTCAAAGCTTCAGGACAGCATCTGTCTATGCTCCTTAGATATATATTCTTCCTTCTTCCAGAAATATAATTGATTCATTCAGCCATACCGACATATTGCTGGGAATTTCACGGACTTGTCGTTTTACAAGCCGTGAACATGTTTCTTGGCTCTCGCCTTATAACACTAATGGATCTGAACAAAATCACGGCAGAGGTATGTATATCCGGCGCCATATGTCCATCAAGGTCTATCTACATCTAACAAACACTGATCTTTGTTTACCCTTTATACGTTCATACGACAGCATTCAATGCTGATCAACAAATATAAAGATAGTACATGAAAGGAGTTCGCAGATGATGCTAAACGTTAATCAAAGGAAAGATGACATGCATAACATGCATGGATAATGAGACAACACCAAGTAATATAACATAAACTTTCTTTCACAATAATAACATAAAGATGTACAGTATACCTAAAGTGTGCTAAAGAAGACACAAGTGAACTAAACACGAAACACAAAAATTTCTATGCACAAAGTGATACATAAATAGTCCATGAAAACAACAGTTTGACGCGATATACTTACCGGAAATGTAAATATCCATATAAAGTGAAGTTGGGAAAAAAATCAATATCTTTTGTGACAAATGTCAATGGGTGAAACATACATATTTGTACATAGTTGACATTGGTTTTACAAGGTGGTATTGTGTGCATTTGCTGATTGATAGATGCCATAAGTGAGCGGAAGTTGGAGGATAAATAGATAAGAAGGGTCATACAAACCCTCGAAAATCAAAACAACCATGTTTAGGTTTCATAAACAACAACCACTCTAACACTCACACGATTGCACATGTAAGATAAGCGTATATGACTTTATGTGACCTTAATCATTGCTCCTGCACTTTATACCATTCAGAAACGAAACCTAGACCATTGGGGTTATTATCCAAAGCAAATATAACCACTGTCACTCACAGCTCGTCACTGGTGTATATTAGAAAACGTTTAAAGCATAAGCACGTTACACTAATTGTATAGATATCTTAATCAATTCGGGTGCGGATTTTGCTTTGGGGCTCGAATGTCAGTTTGTAACACTGTCAAACAGTTTCATAAGATAATAATAGTTTAAACTGTGTTTGACATTAAATAGTTAATCCATCCTGGAAATCTTGAATAGGACTTATTACCTACCTAATCCCTACAGTTGCAACGTGTGCTGGAGAAACCAATTAAGCAACCTTTAAGAGTCAACAACCAGGGATTCCATTCAATAACAGTTAATTCACAGACCGAGTGCAACAACCTTATCACTATTTGCCTTGCACATCCGTAAATTGAAAGTAATTGATCTAGACTTCCATGGTCTCGTGGTCAACCACTGGAAAGGTCAACAAGAAAGTTGATAGGTGTACATATGTATCACTGACAGCGCCTATTCACAGACAGTATATGACAGTACATACAACAGTATATGAACAAGTAGTATTTTGATAATGGTGATAGACTAATGAAGGTACATCAATAGAGGGACACCATATACTCTAGACACTTATTTAGGATACAATGTGCCAATTTCTAATAATTGAGGGACAATATTAATAAGATGAGCAACAGACCATTACAAATGCTATCAATTTTAAAAGTTACAAGGCAGTATGTAATTGATGCCAGTATGTCAGAGCCATGCTGGTAGCATTCATTAGATTGTTAAAACGTATTGAGGTCATGCGACTTTTAGTGATGTATTTCAGTAATAATTACCAGCTCTCAAGTATCATTACATGAAGCGTTAATATACATAAAATTCATAGTATGGAATGGTTGTGAGTTTTCTGGCGCTACAGTAAATAGTCTTAGAAGTGAGTGTGTGTGTGTAACAAATACGCTAAATCCACAGTATTACTAGCGTATGGTATAATGACTCAAGTTAAGTGGAACTCTGTATGTATCGGGTTTGGAATCATTAATTCAACTCCAACAATACATTGATATTCAGAACCATACCTGAATTAGGATGAGCAGCAAGACACTGCTGCCTCTGCAGATGCACGGCTCCACTTCTTGAAATGCTGACATATTTGAAGCAAAACCCGGCAGCTGTCCTGTTGAACAATCTACAGCTAAGTTCAAACGAGTTCCTATTTGGATTTGCATGTTTCTCAATGATGTATTTCTGTCTGAGAGGAGCTGCCAACGAACCATTCGTTGTCGTCCTTAGCTCGTACATTCGTATCCTGTCTTGAAGATGTTTCTCAGGTCTGGCACATGCCGGTTGTATATACAAGACAGTTATTGCACCTTTACAAGGAAAAATACTCTCCTTCCGGATATTTACGCTATAAGATTGACTCCATGAAACATTGAAAACGTTGCTTCTAGTCACGACTGTTCCTGAGTTGAAGGTTGACTTTAGCACTGCTTGGTAGGATCCATCGAGATCAAACAGGTCACACTGATATTGAATTGTCTGTGTACTCTTTGACAGGTCTGTGTAGTTAAACGTATGCTTCATCTTGGAACTTTCCATTGGTAAAATATCCACTGCAGAAGCAGGTCTTTTGAAATATAATTCTATGAAAAAGGATTCACGGTGTATTTTGGGTTCACAAGTTGCACGTGATTGAATTCGCAAAGGGACATTTTCTGTGAGTGCGAACCTTCGACGATCTGGAAGAAATAACTGAATCCTTGGCCATTCCACCATGAACGTGGTTTGTGTAAGCAAACGGCTGCCTACAAACATATACATTTGTAATGTGTAGGTTCCTGCGTATTCTAGGACCCCACATGTTAGGATGAGTTTGCCAGTATGCGTGCCTGGTGGAATGTGTAAAGAAGTGATCTCGTGTTCCTTCAGTCCTTCCTCGGTGAAGAGGATAGTGACGAATGCACTGAACATAGAAACATTTTGTGGAACACTGTATCCTATTTCTAGATCCCCGGAGAAGGCAGCGTGAGTGGACGGCACTGTGAGCTGGTATACGCCTCCTGAAAGGCATGAAACATAGTTATAGTGAGAATATTTACTAACGTCAATTATATTATAAAATTACCAACATAAACAAAAATCTGGTGTAGAAATATGACCTGTAAATATGAGTATAATTGACTTGACATTTCTTTTTCTTTAACAAAACACACTTGATAATACTCATTTGCCCCTTTCATTCTATGGCATCTTTAACACACAAGGAAGGCTACATGTTGAATCATAGGAATAAGTTATATAACTACATGTATTTATAATCATTTTGCAAAGACTGTGTGTTAGGTTTCGTAAAGAATATTTCATTTATATGTATGCTCACAGTTTTAAATTCAGAAATCCTGTGTTTCGTATTGAATCGGGCTATACAGCATACATCAACAGTTGCATCCATTGGGTCCCCAAAAGACCAATCCAGATCCTCACTTGCGAATCTTAGCTACAACCAGTAATACATACCAATACCCCTTCTCGTGGTAATCTTAGAGTGGTCTAAAGTATGATCTAGTGCAGTCATTATCAAATCTATCATGGAACCCTGTTCACTGTGTTCGTACGTGACATTGCTGTAGCCTTTGTGGCTATAAATGCTTCAGGTGAGACAGACCTAACTATCGATTACCTGTCGGCAGTTCCCTTTGATGTTGACCAGGTAAACAGGTCTATGATCAGAACACTATGTTTAATAGGGGACCCATATATGTGATACATTCTTTTGATCTAATGTCATTTATTGATAGAAATTAGGTGACGGATTGTCTGGGAACATTATACGACAAGTCTTAGTACAGGAATCAGTTTATTGTCCATCATGCATACTAACACTTGACTTGGATGTAATACAAATGTTCAAAAACTGCATGTAGCATACGGGCAGATAATAGCCGTAGTCAAACTTGGAGTTTTGTTATTAGGGACATAATTTGTTATTTGAGACTTGATGTGCGGCTTTATCTGAGGCTTGTATCAGTTGGTATGGCATTCAAGTCATAAAGAAATGATTATTACGAAGCCCCATATCCTGTGAAATGTTCAGATATCAAACAGCTGTCATTATCGTGATGCCGTGCACATGGCGCGAAGACCTCACTAAGACAAGTTTATAGAGAGCAGAGCTTAATGAAAGTCTGTGAAAGCCCCCATTTGCTGCTACTGCTTGGTTGGGTTAGTTATTGCAGTAGAATGCATGTGCGAGCCAGGCCATAGAAATATGCTAACATAAAAATCCACTGAGTGCTCTCGGTGGACAAAGGGTCCATAAAAAAGCATAGAAGAACGACAAAATTGATTCTTGATACTGCCCCTAAGGACCCAAGTTTCATTGATGGAGAGAGATTTTGCTTATAATGCTACATTTGATCTGTTCAAGGGGAATGAGGTGTGGGTGATTCACACATGTCAGTACCAATATGGACATATTTTAGCAGTAACACCAGCAGAGTGTATATCCTCTCTAGGACGTAGTAATTCAAAGCAAAATTGTATTTGGTTTTAAGCATCAAATTTGACTATGAATTGATCATGATTGCAGAATTTAATTTGCTTACTGCACTTAAAAAATATTTTCATACGAGCAGAGCGGTAGTGAGTGAGTGAGTGGGTTGGGTTTTACGCCGCTTTTAGCAATATTCCATCAATATCACGGCGGGCATAGTGGTATGTATACAATATTGCTAATAAGATAAGAGTTTCTAACAATGATAATTGTAACTTCCTAAATTATACACATTAGTGTAGGAAAATCTTGTGAGCCTACATCTAGTGATGTGGAGAAGAACACGTGAAAACATAACCCACTGAGAAATATACGTCATCACTGAGTACAAGAAAACACGAATATACAAGAATTAATAAGAGAAAGTATACCTGGTCGATTACCTGTCACAAATACACAAAGCCACACGCCTCTCTGTAATGCTTCCTCGTTACTGTCATTGAGGAGTAAACTTAAGGAGTATATAGTCACGTAAGCAGTCCATTAGAGCATGAATACCTGCGAGTTATCCCACCATTCACGACGTGTACTCATGTAGCAAGACCCATAAACATGGCAGTCACGGCCATATCAAGTGTCTACTTGGAAACCAACAAATATTTTAGGCTATACGTTAGGAATACTGAAATAATCACGTCACTGGCATTAGTGTTTGCATACAACATACAGGTTAATCTTCCATCGTGATTGTAATCTTCAGATCTTTACTTCAAAGTGTACAGAGAATAAAGCCAATATATCTGTACCAAATAAAAGTGAGATAAGTGATTATGGTAACACACGTCCAGCCCGTCTTGTGTCTGACGAATATATCGTGCCCCTGTACCGGTGCCACGGTCCACACATCACATACTTTTGTACAATCGACATAATTGTTTCCAATAAAATCGTTTAGATTGTTGCACTGCTGGGTGTAGAATTGTGGTACTGTCAGTTAGACAGGTTGTGGGGTGTTTCATGTTATATGTTTCCACATCTCACGGTGCTCGGTGCGCCTGGTGTTATGTATGTTTATGTATGCATAAACCCCACTCTACCCACACGACCTATGACACGGGGTGTCAATATGATATACTTCACACAACATTACCGTCCATTTACACCACATTTAGATGTACAGTATGTCACCAGTGATATGGATATGTTAACACAACTCCGCATTGTTTTTCGGGGTAATAAGGGTATTAACAATTCTCTGTCACGGCATATACGGGAAATAAAGTAGTCGAAATAGAAGGTGCCGTCAATGATGCGTATCTCTCCCTGGATATGAAGCTTTAAGAACGTGGAAGCCTATTCTTGGGGAGAACTTAGCTCTCTCTCTCTCTCTCTCATGACGTGCGACATGTCAGAAAGACAAACAAATTACCGTTAAACCTAATTATTAATCTGGGGACTCTAAGTATAATACTGACAGTCCATGTTTCGGAATCGTAATAATGCGTAAGTGTCAATATTTCATGAGCCAGGTGACAGATGGCAAGTGGAAAACCACGGACTGTGAACGCTGCTGATACTGTTACATGAAAATGAGCAATAATTTATTCAAGAACACCACCATGGTATGTGATTCTTTTCAAAGTGATTTTCAGATATTCTTGAATAAATGTTCCATATTCTAAAAGATCTCCCTGACGTGACCCTGGAGACAGAACATGACTGATTGTCATTTTTGAAAGCGACGTGGAAACCGAATAGTGTACACAATGATACCTGTAAGTTAACGGATACCTAATCTGTATTACATTTTTATGCTGACCACACACCTTGTCGATTTGTGGTTTTCGCGTTTTCTTACAATATATTAACTTAAACATAAAAACATTTACATGAAATACTTTAAACAGTGAAAAGAAATTGCCTAACATTACATACAGGGACGCTATATGTGAAACCTACAAAAGCCGCTGGTGTGCCTGGAACAGAATAAGCACACTGAAATTGTGTGATGACGAAACGATGTAAGAAGACTTTGTGTATTTTTAAAAAGTTGTTCGACTTTGGAAGAAAAATCAGCAACGTGCCCTGAAATGGTTGCCCAGTATTAGTGTGTATGGTAAATGAAATTTTAAGCCATCTATGCAACGTTCAGGCACGTATCGGAAACCACCCTGAGTGCCTTCAGTGTATGATAAATGACACTGTTGAACTTGATAATACCTCATGCCCGTCAATGTCAAACCGAGAGAGACAGGGAGAGATGGAGAGGGGAGAGAGAAGGAGAGGGAAAGAGAGAGAAGAAAGATAGAGACAGAGAGACGTCAGCCGACGTAAAACGTAGGCGGTTCGGCTTCATGCAAACATGATATATAGAACCTACAGCCTTTGAATATAACAAACTGTTTATTGTATATCCTTTAAACGGAATGTCCGTTATATTTGCACCCAATACAATATGATCCGGAGACGGTGTAAGGTACAACCTGGTACAACACATAGCTAATTATTCATGCAGGTTTGTAAACCAAGAATCTCGTTTTGTCCTCTCACGGTATTTATTTATGATGCATCATAAAAGAAACACTTTCACTTTACTCACCCTTTGATATGGTGGTCTCTACTGAAATCATTTACGTCTTCTGTAGTGGCATTGTAAACGGCTATAGAGGCATGTCAATGCCACCAATGATACTACCATTTGGCGAATCGATGTTATTGGGCATTCCAGGCAGCTGCTACGATCAAAGGATTGAGTAATGCAGAGATCATGTACACTGGGTTATATGGTCGTGTGATAGAAGATATAAAATCTGTAGAACATATTGGTCTTTATCACGCCATGCATAGGATTAAATCGAAATAAAATATACAGCAAGTGTCATTGACCAAGGATGAATATCACTTGTCACTTCAAAGTGCTTGCAACTATTTTACTTTAAGTATCAGATTCAATCGGATCTCAGCGTTTTATGCAATGGCGTTCTTTTCCTTCACCTCATTAAGGCTGGGATTAAACCACTTCTAACACACAGGGCACTACTGGTGGATGACAGGTACACAGCAACCACACATGCTGTGGTGCTGCCGTATGTTATATCTGTTTTGGAAACATACACAGCGTAGATTCGGACAGCAGTTGGGACAAAGCTCCTTCAGTTCACGATGTACATCCTTTGGTCTGTATGGCTGGCGGGTTAATCCCGATAATCCTTCTTTGTTGCACAATTTTTGTGTCACGGTGCTACTCTTTATCGTCGTCATTTTGGGACGGCAAATTAAATCAGTTTGTCGCAATAAATACATTACTTTAACAGGTTGAGACATTCCTTCCAGTTTAGTGAAATGATACGGTTCAAATCGTAATGGCGCAGTTTGAAAAGATTCTGATACCTGAATCTCACACATGAAACATATTTTAATGTCAATATCTGTAACTGTGATAATCTTTATTTACACGATCGAAGCCTGTGATAAAGGCACTGTACGTCTCATAAATAATCATCCCAAATACATGCAAATGATGAACACATAAATATGCCTGATGCACTGGGTTACACAAAAACAGAT